TGGTGTTGGAGAGTGGAGACGCTGACTGAAACTAGGGCTAGGCCTCGAGATTAAATCTCAACTTCCCTCTTCTTCCCTTTATTTTTTCCTCTGAATCATATGCCAAATCACATATCTTTCCTCTGTTAAATTATTTTCTTAGTTTCCTGCACTCGATAATCAACTCCGTCCGTAGAAAACTCCCCCACAATATCATTTCTATCCAATTTCAGAACTAATTCGGCATTCTTGTTTCCTATTCCATCTTGTTTATGCCCGATAACTCTCCACCAATTATCTCGCCACTTGAAGTGAATCTCAAATTTGGAGGGTGAATGGATATTGAAATGGATTTTTATTTTCCATATTGCAATTACACAAGGAGTAACGATTAACCAGTGAATCCTAAACCACTAATTTTTCCGGTTCAGCGTCCGGTTACGAAAACAAAGAGTAATACAAAACAATGGAGTTTTGTAGCAATACCTATACCCAATCCATTAATTAATGAGACGCTGTGCAAATTAATGTGATGACGTGGTTAGTTCATTTAACTGTTACGAGTAATTAATGAGATGATTTGGAAATTTATGACCATTATTAAATGTGCTGACTTTGACATCTACACCCAACTCACAGAATGGGGTTCGGTTAGCCTGACTACCCCTAAAGGGGTAGTCATTTTCGACACCCATGATCTAAGCCGTCCATTGTAGATAGTCTTAATCTAAGATTAATTGCTTACAGTTAGTAATTATTGCTCTAATTCAATAATTAATTGCATAGAAAAAGAGAAAGAATTAAAAGTGGCGACCCCACCCATAATTTTAAATTCATTCCCTCTTACCTTTTTCACTTTCACCGTTTCAGTTCCCCTTCCCTTCTATACCTCTGCCTCCAGAACCCACAAAGAACACTTCGCCGCCGACTCATAAAATCGCCGGCGTAGACCCTAATATCCTTCACAAACAGCGGTCGGCCACTCCCTCCCGTCGGAAGTCGTCTCTCTTTAATCCCGAACCATAGACTTCAGCACCCGCCGCAACCCTTCGACGCCGACTCATCACTACCCCTTCGCAACCCTTCGCATCCCTTCGGCGCCGCCGTAAAACATCATCTCCTTCGCAAACAGCGGTCGGCCCGTCGGAAGTCATCTGTCTTTCCCCCCGAACCATCGACTTCGAACCCGCTTGATCGATTCCCGTCCACGATAGTATAGCTGCGACAGAGGCTATTTATGGTGTCTTGTTTAATATTTGTGTTGTTTGAAAAACAGTTGGTAATTACAAACGCGTACCAGTACTCTGGTACATCTATCACTGCACTGGTACATGTACCAGTGCACTGGTACATCTATCACTGGACTGGTACATGTACCAGTCCATTTGTACATGTACCATTCTATGTGATAAAAATAGTTCAGAATATAACCAATATACGAAATATAATTTATCTCCCTCAACCACAGTTCTTTAAAAATTGAGCACAGTTCATAAAACGAAAATAAAAAAAACAGGATTCAACAAATAGAAGTTGACAGGATATCACTATACTGGTACATCTATCACTGTACTGGTAAATGTACCAGTACTGTGGTAAATATATCACACAACTTGAAACGCGTACAAGTACTATGGTACATCTATCACTCCACTGGTACATGTACCAGTCCACTGGTACATCTATCACTGGACTGGTACATGTACCAGTCCATTTGTACATGTACAATTCTATGTGATAAAAATAATTCAGAATATAACCAATATACGTTATATAATTTATCTCCCTCAACCACAGTTCTTTAAAAATTGAGCACAGTTCATAAAACGAGAAAAAAAACAGGATTCAACATATCACTATACTGGTACATCTATCACTCTACTGGTAAATGTACCAGTACTGTGGTACATATATCACACAACTTGAAACAACGTTATTTAATATTTGTGTTGTTTGGAAAAAATAAAAAACGCGTACCAGTACTGTGGTACATCTATCACTCTACTGGTACATGTACTAATTTATGTGATAAAAATAATCCAGAATATAACCAATATACGTTATATAATTTATCTCTCTCAACAACAGTTCTTAAAAAATTCAGCACAAAAAATAATGGATCCCGCCAGCCGTGTAGTGATGATCAAGAGCTATGGTTCTCCACGGCGGCGACGAATATTCAAAGTACCAGTTCGACAGCCCCAGCGCGTGGAACCGGCCGACGATGCGGGTCAGGTTGGAGGTCGGAGGCGAAGGGAAATAGCAGAGACGGGAAGCGGAAATAGAAACAAATGGAAAGGGAGTAGAAACGCCACAATTTCCATCCATGGTTCCAGGTAAATTGCCCCACTTCCCGTGCATAATTAATATGCCAGTTGTTCTTTTCTCCATCCATATTTATAGAAGACAGCCATTAATAGTTGCCTGATAATTAAGTAGAACCCTGACCAATCAAATGGGGGGTGTCGAAAATCACTACCCCTTTAGGGGTTAGCATAGTATCCCAGCCCCACAAATGAGCTGCAAAAAAAGTAAGATTATTATTCTTTGGCGTCATTAGGGAGGGTAAGAGCTTGCACATTGAAATCAAAATCTATGAATTCAAAGTTTGGCGTCACAATCAAATTTGTATTTGTAATGAGTTTTGGGTTGATTGGTGAATTTGAATCTTTTTTTCCCCACTCCAATATGGACTTGGTGGTTCACAAAAACAACTAAAAATAGATATAAATATGTTACCACTGACATCAATCAGATTTCATAGACATAAAAGAAAAGTAATACTATACGAACTAAACATGCCCGCTCAAATGAAATCCTCATTACGTTATTACATCTCTACCCCGACCCCAATCTCTTATCATAAACTAGTTGAACTCAATAAGTCGAGTCGTTGGCGAAGATGTTCAATAATTCATCTTATACCAATCACTAACACACCCCCTTCAAACGAAAGTCAGTAAACTCATAAGGACTTTCGCTTTACACATGTAAATGAATACGAAAATACATGTGCTTCACAAATGGGGTCATTGAGATTCGAATTTTCAAACACAAAGACCTCTCGGCCACGTAAGGCTCCGATACCATGTCATAAACCAGTTGATTCCAATAACTCGATTTGTTGGGAGAGGTTCAATAACGGAACAAAGATACGGGAGCTAATTGCGAAAAGAATAACACTTATCATATGCTTTGGCCTCCTTATTGTACAAACAAGGTCCACTCTGGTTGATGAGCCAATTGCACTCGAGGCAGCGCAACAGATCCCTCTTCTCCACGTAAATGTCGAACCGCTTCAAACCGCCGGTATTTCCCTCCCAGTCGAACGAACAGAAGAACAGCGTGTTCCAGAAAATACTGGGGGTGAAATGCCAGCTGAAGGATGCGTTATTCGGCAGCACTTTCGTTCCCAAGCCGTCGTCTTTGGATTTGCAGTGCACCGTCAGTTGATCGGTAAGCCCGTTGGTGATCGTTACGCGGGTCGGTTTCGGGGGTCCATCTTCTACCTTCTCTACCGCCGCCGGCGAAGATCCCATTGTTGTTATTGTTGTTGTTATTGCTATTATCCATGCAGATACTGCCGCTAACGCCGACTTCATGGTGTTTTTTGTATTTCCGTCGCTAATGGGTTTGGGAGTTTGGGTTGCGTTTCCGTCGCTAATTGTTGTTGGTGTTATTTATAGGGACGGGAAGGGGTAAAAGCGTTGTTGGAATTTTACCAATTGGCTTCCTTTTTGAGTTTTGAGCCGTTGGGGTGATTAATGAGATTACGTAATGAAATGTTGAAACTTAATGCTTGTTTTAACAAAAGTGGTTGAGGGATTTGGTTAACAGTGATGAAGTGAAGACTCTACTTAATGCGTAAGCATGCAAGTAACACGTGTAATGGTAGAAATTCCCCTTTAGGGATGTCAATGTGTCGAGTTTCTCTTAATCAGAAATCCGACCCAGCACGGTGCACTGTACGCCTATTGAAAAATCGGGTAAAATATATACCTATATAAGTGAAAAGCCAGTACAATGGGAACCTGTTGATGCATGGGTACCTGTAGGTTTATGAACATAACCGTACATTATTTATTTGAACGTCGAAATCATTAATGTTATTGAAATTTTCTCTATAAATATTACCATCCATAAACTACATATATTATTAGATTTATATTGTCATTAAGATTAGTACCATTCATAAATTATTCATATGGTAAACATTAATTCTTAGCCAAACTTTTTCTCGTGTTTTTTTATTAGCCAAACCTATTAAATTTTTAATAATTAGCCAAATGTTAACTTTCAATTAGCAATTTTTGTTAGTAATATTGACTTGGTAACATGATAATCATTTAGAAGAGACACATGGATGTCAACATTCCAAAACTTTAGTATTTTAACTTAAGAAAAAAGTTACAAAATTATTAACGGTAACGTAAAAATGGCTAATACTTTTATATTTTAGTAACAGTTTTGGCTAATAATTAGTATTTACCCTTGTTCATATAGTACCGATTAAACCAAAAATAAATGATGTCATTTGGTTTGATAGGTGTGAGTCGAGTGGAAGCGGGTTAGATTTTGGCAAACCTCAAACAACCCACCTCAATCCGCCAATTTTAAAAGTGAGTAAAAACCCCACACCCCACACCCGACTCAATACTCATTAACACTAAATTTTACCCGCTTTGATCGAGATGAGCTGAATTACATACTCGTGGGTTCGGTTTCAATTATCATCCCGTACTAATCATCTAGTATGGTCAGTGGTCACCAACTCACCATACTGCTAACTAACCTCGCATAGAAAGTTAAGCAAGGTAAACTCGTTCTGTTTACCATCCAATCAAATCTCCGGACAAAATTATCTGCAAATTTCATTAGCATCATTCAACCCATTTCAAATTCTCACTACGCCAACAACCCACACCAATCTCTTCAGTACTTAACCACTCTTAATTAATTAAAGACATGCATGGGGCTAGCTAGTTAATTAGCTAATGAATCAAAGAACCAAACACTACTAATCAAAGCAAGCTGCTCTTATAACCGTAACAGACGTCATAAGCCGCACTGGTGGCATTGTACCAGCACGGCCCAGCCTCGCTGACGATCCACTTGCAGTCGGTGCACCGATCCTTATCCCTCTTCTCAACGTAGATGTCGAAGTAGCGGTTGCCGCCGCTGCCATCCCACGAGAAGGAGCAGAAGAAGAGCGTCCTGCCGAAGAAATTCGGGATGAAATGCCAGCTGAAAGTTCCCAGCTTGTGCAGCACTCGTTCGCCCAAGTCGTCCTCTTTGGACTTGCAGTGCATCGTCAGGTCCTGTCCCTTCGACAGCCAGTTGGTTACCGTCACGTCCGTCGTCTTCACGATCTGGCCCTCCGCCGACGACCCCATCGTTACCATTGCTAATATCATCCATGCTGCGGCCGTCACCGTCATTGAAAGGTTTTTTTCCGTCGCTAATTGTGTGTTTTGGTGATGGGTGAATTGGGGGTTGTCTTATTTATAGTGACGGGAGTGGGGGTGAAGACTGTTGGAAGAGTTGATGGAATATTCCTTGGTGGGTTCTTTCTTGATGGTTGGTGAGTAATTAATTACGGTGATATGGGGAATTTATGGCTGCTGTGATTAATGTTGTCTGACTGCTCTAATTGTGCTGGATTTGGCTCACTTGACAACCAACTCTGATGGTGATTGATTATCAGCATGATTCATCTTTTTAGTGATGGCAATTTCAACCCGCCCCGCGGGGATTACCCGACCTGACCCGCGATGGGGCGGGTATTACCCGACCCGCAGTAGTGTGGGGAGGGATATGGGTATCTACTTCCGACCCGCCCTGCCCCGCCCCGCCCCGTTCTAGACTCATTTTATCTCAATTTCTTACAATATCTATATATATTTCTCCTATTTTGACTTTTCTTCAACTCGTTAGAGTCGATCTTTCAACTTGTTAGGCTCAATTATCCATTCTATTATCAATATTTTTCATTCTTAAAGTGTTTTTCTCTATGTTTTATTGTAAAAAGTAAAATTTACTTGTATTTTTTTTGAACAACATGTAAGAGTGGGTCGACCCGCCCCGCCCCGTACCCGAGCGGATTTTACCCGCCCCAACCCATAGTAGCGTGGGGCGGGACATGGGAATTGAGGTACCCGCCCCGCCCCATCACTACATCTTTTGTCTATATTTATCTATCTCTCGACTCGATATTATACGATATTAAAATACTGCTGGTGAAACTTTCCATCCAAATCTGACTTCCATGGCCTGGAAATCTTTCATGTGTGACTGCAAAGGCGCAGTGACTGTGACGGAAGAGGAAGAACCCATTTGAGAACTCATCGATTTGGGTAAAACAATACGATTTCATCGAAGCGATAATGGACATACGAACAATTACACGAGTTATTAAACTGGTGGGGAGATCAAATATCTCGTATCGAAAACCGGTTTATGTAAACAGCAATGTGCTTAGAACTGGAACACACACGGCTGGCTCCAGCGTTTATATCCATAACCTTGATAACTAAATTGCAGACACATGAAAGTGTGGAACAGTTGAAGTCACGTTGATTCCTAAAAACAGCTAAAACGAAACCAACTTCTACCATCCTAGCCAAATTCTCTACTCTTCTACAAGTACAATTGTACAAACCTCTCCCTAGGAAGTAAAGCACAGCTCCCATGCATCATCATCAGCTATTCCTCGATATTCCGATATCTAACTCGAATCACAATCGTGAATGGTGGGGAAAGACAGAAAGAAAAAAGAAGAAGAAGAAAAACCCCGAAGAGCCTACTGAAGAAGGAAACCAGGATAATGACGATATATATAATGACCGAAACGAAAGGCTCATCTCATCCTTGTCCTACAGCTTTCAACTACACGATGCCGGTTAGCAGGTCGCGACCTCTAGAAATCTTTGCTGCTCAAGAAACCATGATCCAATGCGTGCCCTAACTGTCAATGCTCTCACCCACCCTGAAATGGAACCCTTCTCTTTTGCTTTTGTGTTATTTTGTGGCCGCTATCCACGGATTCATTGAGGATTTTGGCCAGCCAAGACTTGGTACATCTGCATGCTGTGAAGGGATTGACCTGCATTGCCGTACATCCCAGGGCCACCCCGGTTCAAGGGGCTACTACCATGATCATCGGATGACTCGCTAGACCCTCCTTGGAAAGGAGGGCTGGATTCTGACATCGGTGCTCCGAAATTCAACATCTGGGACGTGGGAGCCAATGAGGGTCCAGATTTAGATTCTTCGGGGGTTGATCGTTTGCCTTCGGCGACAAAACTGCCCACTATGACCTGGTAGATTGTGCAGCAACAAACCGCAAGCAAATTTTAGGTGCAATGAAGGGTTACTACAAACGAGTTTAAATATGTGGATCTAGCAAAGTGGTCGCCGAACTCACTTATATGCATCACATTGGAGATTGAACTCGATATAAGACTAAAGCACTAAACTCAGCCTAACAAAATACTGTTACATTTTACCTCGACAGAATTTGCTCTTATATGGCTCTGCTGTGGCAGCAGACTATAAACCAAGTCTGCCACATCAGCAACACAATTACGACTAACATAAGAAATGAAAAATGCTAACGGTGACTCATTAAGACGAGTTTAGAGTGTTATTATCATTTGATGTATTGTAATGCATTAGGAAAATATCTTGTTTGAAAGTTTAGATTGTGTTTTTGTTGTAAAGCCACAAAAGTTAATTTTGAGTGATTGTGAAGAATCTCTACTTATTGTTGAGATTGATAATCCCTCAATTTTGAGTGATTGTGGTGGGGCCTCCAAAATGTTAATGCATCTTAAAATATATTAAGGGTGCGTTTGGATACAATGATTTGGATTTGGTATTTGTGATTTGGATTTCCAAATACCAAATCATGTGTTTGGATATAAATTACATTTGGTATTTTGATTTATGTCAAATTCATGGGGTGATTTCCAAATACATGTCTAGTGTATTTTTTGTCAACTTCAAATACATTTCAACAACTAGTGATTTGAAATACCTCCTAACAAAAGAATGAACCTATTTGTAAAATATGAAAAGTTTAGGTACTATAGTGTGAGGCAAAACATAAAAAGGTATCAAAATGTAATTTTACCATCAAAATTTCAGGACCTTTTTGTAAAATTTTAAAAGTTTAGGTATTAAATTATTTAAAAAAATATAATTGGGTACCAAACTGTAATTTACCAAAATTTGTAGTAAGTGATCAGAAATTTAAAAATTGAAATTCAAAATCATAAAATACAAAATACAAACAAATTACAAATGAGTATCCAAACAATGAATTTGAATTACATGTATTTCAAATGCTAATATTTCAAATACATCCATTTCAAATGCTAGTATTTCAAATACCTTACATTTAAAATACACTTATCCAAACGCACCTAAAGTAATTTAAGAAAATAGTCTATTCCACGTAAGCCTTCCTGGCTTCCCCGCAAGTTTCGGGAATTGGTTTTTTTTTTCCTCTGGCCGTCTTCCCTTAAAATCGCATGTTAGAGATTTTTTTAAAAATGTAATATGTTTTCTTCACCATTCCTCCGTAATATGTTGTCCACGATTTTTTTATGAATATCCAGTTTATATATATATATATATATATATATATTAGACCCTTATCCATTTTCCCTATTTGTTTCAATGATGGATTTTTGTTCAATTTTTTACAATTGATTGTTGTTATTAACGTTTTTTCAACTGTGCTATTTTGAAACAAACATAAGGTTTGTTTGGTTCATTTCAATATTAATGATTAATATTTTGTGACTTAATTTAGTTGTCATAAGAAATGGATATTTCATTTAACATATATAATTAAAATATTAGATATTGTGAACAAATATTGATTCATGTATCAAGTATTAGATGATAAATTGATTGCTTTGAACTTTGATTGACAAATTTGGAGATAAATTTTTGCAGTGAGGCTTTCAAAACCACCTTGAAGGATATGAGTATAGAAAGTTTGAATCATTATGTGCCCATATAATAAATGTTAGCAGCAGTTTTTGAAGATGTATGAGAGGACTATGAATTTACTCTTTAACCTAAGTGGGAGAAGACTTTTCACATGAGCATATTAGCAATTTTTTATATCCTTAATAGTATTATACTTCTTTTTTCCTCCTCGAAAAAGATGATCATGTAAAAATGAATGGTAAAAACAGATAGTGAATTACAATCTCATAAACCTATATTGCAAGACTACTATATTGTTTTTTAAAATTAGTTGCAAAAATAAAAACAACTTAAAAGACTAAAAACAATTAAAGCATACATTTGAATCACTTAATCGACAAGATAAAATGAAAAACTCACCCGGCCAACAGGCCGGGCATAAAGCTAGTGTATTCTAGTTCAATATAAGCCAAAAAAACGATTGAATCTCACAAAAAACATGAATTAGCTCAATACACCATTTGAAATCACAAGTTCCAAACGACCCCTTAGTTGTCTCCAACACAGAGTTCGATGCCCAATTCGAAACACATAAGCGAGATGGAAGGCGAAATTGGTGGTTGGCAGGATTCAATTAATATAACGGATAACCTACTAAACATGATTTACACAGGTAAGCCAACTCAAACAACCAGTTAGATCCAAATCAATCTGTTTATGGATTCGGGATATATCCGTTCTGAAGAATAGAGGTTAAACTGAGAAGGGTAGAGAAAAACAGAAACTAGCATACCTGCACAGGTGTTGCTGCCATTAACATTCCAGCTACTCCACCACCCAAAACTCGACCATCTGATCCGGCCAATGAAACACTCAAATCGCCATGTCTACTCCTATTACCATTATTTTCAGAAAGCCAGAAGGAACCTGATAAAGAAATTATTTCAAATCGCCCCTGCAAACAAAAATACAAGGTTTAAGGTCAGATGTATTTCCACTACAGAGAACGTTGAGGATATGCGGACTATGATTTAGGGCACAGAGTGGAATATTAAGCAACAGTACAAGATACTCCACCACTTCAAATAGAAAAGCTTCTTCAAAATCATGTATGCATACCATCACAATGAAATCAAAGCTAATCATCAATTTACATCCCCAGATATCTTGACGATTACAGTCCTATCATTTGTATTCTCCCTTCCAAATATTCGATCAAGATACCAAGCTACTGGGTGCAAAAAGAGCTCTGTTTCAATCTTAACATTTTTTAGCTTAAACATACCGTTCTAGGTTGCCTTGACTCTTTACAATTTAATCTTGGACATAGCTTTCTAAGAATCCTAAACTTTTTAGTGCTTCTCTTGGGCATAGCAAGTTAGTAGGTTTCCTTGCCTTCTTCACCAGTTAAATATAACCCACAAGTGAGACATATTTTTCTGTTAAACTTGATCGGTTCAAGAAAATTATTTCAGACATGAAAGACACCTCATATGTCACAGTGCCACCAGTCACTGCAGGTTGGCGAAGGGTCACATTGCATATGGCCCCATTTGCTGAGAGAATACATACAGTTCTCGGGCCTTGCTGGGAAAAAGAATAAATCTTTGAAGCAATATCCTGAAATACAGAAGATCATAGGAGTGGGTGAGAAGCTCAGATGCTGATTTCATAGTACTTAATATCCATAAGCACAACAGAAAATTTCTTTGCTGGGTGGGTAGTACAAGAAGTTGGTAGAGTTATCACTGTTTCTGATGATAAGATTCTCAAAATGCCTCTGCTGCAAACAAGGTCCAGCTTTAGTTTGGTAAGTTGATTAAAATGATGAGCCCATTTGAGATTTTGACATTTATAGATTAGAATAGCTCTTGGCATTCAATGAGAAAGCTAACTTAATTAACCAAATAGAAAAGCTTAGCCTCTCACCAGTCACCACAAAGTTTATTTAGAAAGTCCTCTGGCTTTTGGAAGATAAATTTGGAAAATGAAACCGAACTCTCTAAAAGAAGCTAACAAGAGCATTCAGATAAATAGCTAATTACCCTAACTGCCCAACCATTTTAGTTTGATAAACTGAATATACGACCAACAAGCATCCAAATCGTGGCCGAATTACAAACTTTCCCCACCTACAGAGAGTATTAGTGTATTCAAAACTTCAGATGCTGCAGGAAATGCATCAAATATACAGTTAAACTAACAAACTGTCCTAACAGGTATAGTCTAAAATGGCAACTGAAAGTGAGACACGCCAAAAGTTTCAACATCACCAATCCCAAATTCTTCTGTTGACATCCCCACCTCATCCCCATCCAAACTAAAGTAGAAAGCGAGAAGGAAAAAACAGAGGTAACCTGAACAATTTACCCAACAAAATCAATAACACAACTGCAAGCTTAACTTTCAGACAGCATGAGGACCAGGAGTGTTCGGCTGCTAAGAAATTTTTGGTAATTAAGTGTGGATTTCTGCCTTTCATTTGACCAAGAAACAACTGTAATGAACATATTGCCTTAAAATCTGAAAGTGATTGCAAACAGAACCGGTCCTTGACGTCTTTATTACTACACCAAAACAGATAACAAATCCTTTCAGATTGCAGAACACTTGTAACTCGCTATAAGAGTTCTGAACTGATCGCACACAATTTTTTTACCAAACAGAATTAAGAATGATTACATAAATCAATAAAGGGTGCACTCCAGGATATCAGGAAGCCTCTTCTAGTAAATCCAAGGTTATAATTACTCCGCAAAAAACAATTTCCACTTAAAATGCATGCATTTCCATACTGCCTTCCTTTTACAAATTACATTCACCAGATGACCATTAAGCTTTCACAAATAGGTACACTTTGAACTTCATTGAGTTTGCAATCTATTATATAATCTAAGGCCCATGATGTTTCGAGTGTTGCATCTCTAAACCACAAGACAGCACTCACGAGAATAGCTATATAGTTATGTTTCCCTTCTTAACTAGCAATCATCAATATACAGACAACAGAGCAATGACAAAAACGTTGGGATTAGACACTTCGGCACAAGTACTATTTTCTCTGTCGACCAATCAGTTAAGTATTATCTAACTTTCAACCAGTAGTTTATGCCTCTTCACTATTTTACAAATAGTTTGTTGGATTTCCATGAAATAATAGTGACCTAACATAGAGAAAATGATCTTCAAAATAACCAACATTTCCAGATTACCGGATTTGTAAAAGCTAAGGTTCAAAAGAAAACCTAAAAGAAAATCTTATTTTACCCAGTAATTTGAAACACCTCTCTGGTAACAGATAGGTGACATGAAGATTAAAAAAAAAATGACAAGTGCATACATACACCAGATTTGATGCAAATGTTATTAAAGCATGCAGAGCCATCTAAACAGAAAAATATAGTTCGTTACATAGAAAGCTCTTGAGTCTATCACAAACGCAAAAAATAGAGGGAAGCTAAACTAGATTTTGGAATGAGGACCTATCCTCCCTGAAACGCACGAGTCCAACTTGGGACCAGAGATCCATAAAAGTGACGGGGAGTTTCCAGAAATATGGACAGTCACAAACTAGTAGGTATACGTCAATTTTCAGTTCTTGCCCTTTCATGCTTGAAGACTAAGAGAACCAAATATTCTCAACAGTAATCTGATAATGAAGAAAACCAAGCTTCACAAGGCAGCTCAAACCTTTTAAATGAGAAGGCTGCACGCTACTGAAGATAACAGAATAACATTGCAAAAGACAAAAAAAAAATGGCTAAGTACAGAATATTGGACAACTGAAGGATACAAGAGTAAACCAAGACTCCGTCCAATAGAGAATTGACACTTAGCATCTGTAATTGGTTCTTGTAGTTTGTACTACTAAGGAAAATTTCCAAAGAAAACTTCAGTAGGAATTTAAAAATCAAACACTTTCATCTATATGATTCACTCATTGTACTCATTGTTAACTTATGACACCAGATAAGGTAAACATTTCAACATGAAGAACCAAACAAAGAACCAAGAAATCTTAAAACTCAGCGAACAGTAAAATTAGATATAAGTATTACCATTGCTTAAGCTCATACGTCAGCTGTAATCTTAATCAAGGACTTCAGCTTCAAAACTACACAGCATTACTATACTAGCCCCCACAATAGCAAACCGGGCTCAGAGACGAGCAGCAACACACATTACCAGCGAAACACAAAACGATATAAAGCCAAGGGAGAACTCAATGAAAAACTTAGCAAACTATATCGGCAGTTTTGCCTACAAGCAAAAGGTTGCTATGAGACGAAAACTGGAATAACAATGTCTACCCACTGCTCTGTGCCCATGGAATGAGCAAGAGCAAGGCTGTAGAGGCAAACATACTCAACCTCAGAAGTAGATGCCGGTTTCCCTCTGCCCTTACTGAAGAGAAAGGGCCTACCAACAACAGTATGAAGACTACAACTCAAGGAGAATCAAGACAAGCAGTTCATATTTGGTGAAGCCACTTGTCAGAGTTCACATTATGCTCCATAGAACTATTTCAATAGCATGCATTTCATTTCAACATTGAGCTCGAGACTTTTTGGCTTCAAACTCCAAACAATCCACAATAAAAAAAATATATCAGCCCATCAAAACCTAGCCTCCGCACTCCTTACGGAGAAAGGAGAAAGAAGATCACTATGGTAACATTAACCCTAGTGCCCTATCTACATTCCACAATAGCAGAAGCTGGGATGCCGATATGTGAAACTTGAAAAACATGGATTGAGCTACTCAGCTCGACATTTGAAAACGAAATAACAATTTACGCAACAAGCATTATCCACAACGAATAAGATCACGGAAGGAAGGACATAGTCTGATTTAGAACATTCTTACAGTAGCAGCACCCAGTAACTATCTCCTCTAGCAAGAACGGACACATTTCCTAAACAGAGCAAACTTGACATTGTTCACAAATCAAGCACTTGAAGAAGAACATACCTCGCCGGCTTGCACCAAGATTACATGAGGCGTAAACCCTATCCCTCCAACTCCTCCTACCAAAAGCAACAAGAAATTATAAACAACGGCCAGAAAAAATTGTCAAAAACGCCCAAACTAGGATTTGCAATTCCATTACCTAGTGCATCAAGCTGCCTCTTCACAGAACCCGGCGGCCTCCCACGGTGCCGTTTAGCAGGACCGTCGGAGGAGGACAAGCCGGGAGGAGTACCCGCGCCCCCGCCGGACTCCACATGACCTACTGAAGCCGCTGAAGAAGAAATAGGGGTTGGCGTCAAACCGAGAGCAATGTTGCCGTCGGGAGTGTACTTCCTCGGCCTCCCGCGCTTCTTCTTTGCAGGCTCGATGCTGAACCTCATACCGGACGAGGTCGGGGACGATCCGTCGAAGGAGCCGGCGTTCAGTCCCCCGTCGGAGGAAGAAGGCGGCTTCGATTGAGGAGGCGGAGGAGGAGGAGGAGGCCGCACGGGCATGGAATTGAAAGGAAATCCGGCCGCCGCCGAGTTGGGGTTGATCATGGTTTGGTAGGAGGAAGGGTTTGGACCCAACATCATGTTCGCCGCCGCCGCCTGCTGCTGCTGGTGCAGGTGGTGGAGCTGCTGGTGATGGTGGTGGTGTTGTTGAAGGTGCGGCGGCGGAAGCTGCTGCTGCTGCGACGGTGGCTCTCTGGAGTCCATTCCCTCCCTCCCTTCCTTTCTCTTCTTCGGTTTCCTTCTGATTCTGCTGAGATTTTCAGTTCGGATGGTGGGAAATTTTGAGGAAGAATCGGGGGAGCAAGTGGGAAAAAGTGCAGAGAAAATTTAGAGAGAGAGAGAGGGGGAAACGAAAGAAAAAATAGAGATGTGTGACTAAGCGCGTGGAACTTTGGCGCGTGACTTGAATAGGGGGAGCGTGGGGGTTTTATGCTGATGAGTATGGTTGGAGTTGAAAAATGCTGATGAGTATGGTTGGGGTTTTAGGAGAGTAGTAACAAATCAATCACCCAACTTAATTTTGATTTTAATGGAGATGATAATTCAATAATAATGTTTTAACAACAAGATGATGTGTCCTTCCATTTCGGTTGATTTTTATGTTATTTTGGTTGCCCATTATTAGAGTGTAAAGCAAAGTAAATGTTTTTACATCAAATGCACCTTTGCCATGGTGGAGAGAGCTGATCTTGAGGCGTCATTTATCAATGTTGCGATGCGGCAACATGGGCAACGCGCCAACAACATAAAACACTGTTGTAAAATGAAACGACTTCAAGTTGAGATAAAGAGGGATATAGTGATGGATTCAAACGGCATAGTATTATGATAGAGTACTAGATTAATAGAAAGGTCATAAAAAAAAAAACCACAGACGGAGATTTGATATGAAAAACTCAAACCATTGACAAGTGAAATCCATGATATCATTTAAAAGATGGAATGACGGCAAAAAAAATGAAGTACATTATTTCGAGGCGTAATATCGAAAGGAGTTGCGAGAAGGAGTCCAAGAGAAGAAGGAAGTGGCGGCAGAGATGATTCTTCTATGCAATGACATCAGTTTTAAGCCAATCGATTTGGCTAGCGAAAATGAGAGGAATTTAAATTTGAAATTCTGGTGACTGATTTACCTCAGAATTCAAGTTTGGTGGCCAATTCAGCATTTTACAACCCATGATGAGTGTGTATGAATTGGGCTTTTTAGGAGTCGGGTAAGTGAACGAAAACCTAACGCATTTTGAAAACAAAACTAAAAGCGAAAGTGTGGGGTGCGACTGGGGAGCGCGTGCGCGTGGCCCCACCCACCCGCACACACAGATCCAAACTCCAACTCGGAAAAGTGGGAACTGTCAACAAAGCCCTCAATATCTTTTGTGTTTATCTATTTGTCACTTCTACGATAAATGTGTATACTCCCCAAGTCCCACACAAGATTTTATTGTTGAGACTTGGAGATACTATGAGAGATTCAAAGTAATCAATGAAGAAGTAGAATTTGTTATACATATGGAGTTAGAGAGATAACTATGGATTTTGAGAATATCGTGTCGGAAATTATAGTGGAAAATCGTATCGGATTTTGTACAAAAATCGTGGTTTAAACGTTTTCTACTGAATTGCCTACCGATTTGGTTCTGGTATCCGGTTTTTGGCGGTCCGACCAGCCGGTACGATAGGATTTCTTAAACATCGAAATATTTACTAATGTTTGATGGGTACTTTGAAAGGGTTGTGAAACTATACCGGGGGGTTTTACCGAGGAAAAAGTTAATGGTCCGATTTTTATGCTGAATTCGTAATTTAGTCGTGGTTGAGCAATTACATACCACTAAAATCGTCAATCAATTTGAGCTCTTATAAGTTGGCCTCACCCTATCGTCAAACAAAATCATGTCATCTTGTCTGCGTTCTAATCAGCACATTAAATCCAGTCTAATAAGATCCCGACTTCTACACATAGCCCAGCATGAAAGCCTGTCACCTTGCCGGTACCAAAAACCGATGCATGGGAAAAACCTTCTCGAAAACAGCAATCCTTTGGTTCTTCGTCCCTCTGGCTTGTCTTGATGGCACGGAACTAGTCCCTCCGCGGACCGCCATCCTTTGAATCTTTTCCCTTCCCTCCATCCACTAAGTGCCCTTCACCCTTGACAAGTCACTTGATCCCTCTACATTTGAAAACCATGCTCCTCCACGACGACACAATCTCGAGTACTCCTCACCCCCCAAATGTTGTGGTTCGTTTGTTCTTCAAGTATTCTATGCATACCATGATTTCAAGTATTCTAAATTTGGGATTATTTAAGTTTGAAATAACCCAAACGGGAGATGCAAAGTTTCGAAGCCCTATAATTGACGAGATAATGAAGAGTATTTTTCGACTCAAATAGCCATACATACAGTGGCATAGCCACCTTATAGCCAGGAGGGCTCTAGCCCCCCCCCCCCCCCCCCACCAAAAAAAATCGTGTAAATTTACATGAAAATTTTGTAACAAACTTGGAGAATAAATCATGTCCCCGCTCCCCGGTTCAAACATTTTGATCGTAAATTTTTAGCTTCTCACTCAGACTTCTAACTCCGCCACTGCATACATACATACTAGGATTGTCAACTGCGTGCTCTAATTCCAAATGGAAGACTCACCCGACCAAAAGCAAGTGTTGTATGCCTATGCCTCCGTTGAAAGGGACACAACCAACACAAAGACTGATTTGTCAAATCCTGTTTTGACATTTGAAGCAATTGGGATATTTATTCCATGACCAAGTTGTTGACCCATAAAAAAGACACCTCCTTTGCTTTCGGATGCAGACGTTACTTACTCCTCAATCAATGCTCTCTCAGTTCGTTTTAGTAGGTGAAGAGTGGACTTCGCACAAGATCTGCCCAAAACTTCAGATCTTCTAACTAACCCCACCTACTCAGGGCCGGTGCTTATAAAGTTGTTGGCATGGTTGTCATGCCGGTGGAATGCTAGTCGGTTAATCCGATGTCAGTTACGAAATTGATGTAAACAGCATCAATACGATCGACATACGACTTCTAAACAAAATGACATTGATTTAGTAAATTTAATAATAAAAAAATTAGTTTACGATATATTTTTTTATGTTATTTGTTGAAATCAGGTATAAACGTTTCAACATTGATGTTAAATATGAGTATTTATTATTTTAATTAAATATTAATATGTTTCGTATTGATTAAATTATGTTAATGATATTTCACATTTTTACATAACAGACATGAACCAGCACAAATCGATTGTGCCACCGGTCCACAGCCATTCCAATTGTTAAACCGACACAAAGGTATAAACCGGTTTGACAACCTTGCACACAGGTTCAACCATATACTAGAAGACAAAAAGGATAAAAGAGAACAAGAGAGAAAACTCTTCAACTAGAGGGCAAGGTAAGTAGGCAACAAGCAAAAATCCTGCAAACGGTAATAGAGTCAACCAAGAGATCCTCTGCCTGCTTTTACCCAAGAATGGCTCGGGTCTGCTTCAATATACAACAACGCACCAACCAAAAGAAAAAGCAACAAACAAGCTGCAGTGTGCCAAGAAATATGCCACTACCAAGTTCTATCAACAGACCATGATTTACAACACAAAATCCGAATATAGCAACAATCGATCGCAGCCGAAGAACAGAAACAATTGAACTCAATATGGAAACAAGGATAGAAGAACTGCACGTAACCTCCATTTTCAAATGATTGAGCTTCAAGGAGTAGGAGCCAGCATGCAATTGCATATCATCCAGTGTATCGAACATTCTCGACAGCAGTGTATAGAGCCCGAATTTCAAAATAATAAAGAACACGTGTTTCTAGCACCTAACCTCGTACGACCCTGCCTTTGTGATGTAACGAACCCACTCGACCGTGTTGTATCCACTCTTCTCCCATACCTGCAGACGATTGTCATAAGTTGGGGAACATGCCATAGAGTATAATGCACGCAGAAGGGAAAGATTGAGCACTGAAGCATACCTTAAGAAATCGAACACGTAAACCGGATGCCGTGAACATGGGGACCTAGGAAACAATCATTAAGTTAGTAGTGCTCTTTCGAAATTTAATTGCACATCTACCATTAAACTGGGTTAGCTTGAATTGTCATTTGGTTACAAGTAGTTTGAGTCAAGTTGCTGTAGCACTCAGGTCATTATGTTCAATAAGACATCAGAAAAACAACTCAGTTTTCCAGATTAAGCTTGAGTGGGAATCAATCATCTATTTGATGCCGAGGAACAGAAGGAAGCCCTTTTCATAACAAAATAACATGAACAGACATTTAGGTAGCCACCTGGAACTCCATCTGAATTGGTGGCCGTGTCCAAGACTTCTTCTCGGCAATTGTAGAAATCAACTCAATTTCTGCACTCAAGGTTGGCTCAGTTTGGCCAGGAAACTTCCTTATCCTGTGCGATTGAGAACATAAACTAAGGTCAGGACATTCGATAGATACATACTAGTGAAGTTATAGCATTCACTGAAAAGTTCAAAAGAAAACGAAAGTGCAGTTCATAAACTTCAATAATTACCACACAAACATAGAATAATAAGCACGATAGGGAAAATGAACAAGCAACCCAACCACACTAGTATTAAGCTACTATTCTGGTGCCAGTGAAGGCTTGTACTTCTCAGTAGACTACACTAAAGGTGACGAGGTTTACTTCATTTTCCTGGTGGAACTAAAAAGTGAGAACATCTGTGGGTTACCAACTACCCCAGGTCTCTTATTATCTTCTTCCGACACAATAACTCAGCTCAAAATATACAAAAGCAGTAATGAACATAACTCATAAGTGCAAATCTGCTATAGTTTTACCAATTATCTCTAAACGTCCACAGCGAATTCTTCCTGGAGGTGCAAATATTTCAACAGCCATTTTAAGTTCTCAAATTTTCCGATGGAGAGTTATGATGTAATTGGAGTGCGGAAGTTTTAGCTCTCCACAATATTTCAACATAGACAAGATGAGAACATTTTAGAAAGTAAGGAGTAAGCAAAAGTAGTCTAGATACATTTGAAGAACTTACTTCCAAACCAAGCAATCAATTGACGCATTGTACTTTGCCCGTCCTGATGTCACTTGGAAGCTTGTTTTAGCAGTTTGTTTAGGTACAGGAATTTTGATGACCACACCAAGAGCGAACATTTTTGCGCCAAAAACACTCTTCACCTGAACAAGTATAAATATAAGCAAATATAAACTCGGCCATTCATGTAAAGGAAGCTTCGACAGCTAAGCTTACAAACCTTAACATTCACTTCCATACGCGTTCGACCAAGTTCCTTAATTGTTGGTAATACCCTGAATGGTAGATTTACCCCCTCTGTTATACGGTACCTGTACAGGATAAAACCCAGAGATATGTCACAGGGTGAAGATTAAACATGTCTGAGAAATCAAAAAACCATATTCAGGACTCTCACAAAGACACTCTAATATTGGAAAATTATAGAAAGCAATGGAAAACAGGAAGATGTAGCACGCATGATGAATGAAAAATAAAGATGAATTTGAAGGAGATACAATAGACGAGGCACTGAGTTTAGATAAATGGATCGGCAATGCAACTGCTTTTTGAAGCAACTTATGACTCTTTTTTTTACTTTGATAATAAAGCAACTTATGATTCGGTCAAAGTTTTCATTACAGTTTCCCAGCCTGAGTAGTGACAGATCAATAACTAATTCTACAAGAACAACATGGACAGCACACCATCAAGGTCTGCACAACCACACTTAAGAAAAGGCAAGCATTGAATTTGTGCTTCGACAATATTCCTAAAGATAGCAGAATGCATAACAGATCCAGATAAGTTTGGGAGGAACACCATGAAAGCAAACCGTACTTATATTTACAATTCTAAGAAAAGTAAGCTAATCCATAAGCAAGCATCTACCTTCAATGACTTAGAAACCCACTAAGTTAAAACAAAACAAGCATAAAGCTGAAATGAGGCCATAAAGTTTTGAGCTGCGTACTTCATCAATTCAAATTCACCATCGGGTGGAACAAAACTCACTGTCTTCTCCGAGTTAAACCTTGTCAAGTTCACGCATTGATGGAAAGTAACATCATCCAGCTCAATTGTTTTACCACTGCACAGAGAGCCAGAAGATTATGAGGATATTAGAATACAAGAGAAATATCTCAGCTTCTTACTTCCTCGTATAACTAACTTGACTTATAGCCATTCTTGCTGCAAAAGAGATTCAGGAATTGATGTCTACATTTTAATTTGAGGAGGAACAAGCACCACCCACTAATAGAAACAGAACCAAAGAACTCTGACGGATGGAGAGAGGGGAACATTGATGATATACCAATGAACAAAAAGAGAAGCGAACAATTACAAACCCACAGGATATCAGGAGCTTCTAGATACAACAATATAAGTGTCCGGAAACCCTCTAAACATATGTAACTAATCAATAGATTCTCAAACAAGTTATCACTATCATAAGGCCGATACGTATTAGTGTCACAGAAACTGGTACCTTTTGGTAGGACGGTTCTTCAGTTGTGACTCTTTCTCCAGACCAATTTTATCATTTAAACCCAACTTCAAATCAGGCATTCCAGATAGGAAGCACTTCATCAGAATTTTCCCCGTCACATCACATCGTAGTACACTACCTGTAACGACAGCATTACTTGATTGCAATAGAACCAGCTTCCTCCAAAATTAAAACTCACAAAAAAGACATCACCAACCTTTTGAGGACATAAGAAGATTAACACTTTCGACAATATCCAAGAAAACCTGCAGTTAAATGAATGTAAATCTCCAGCTAGCTGACTAGTAGAGGTCATTTTGAACAGAAGAAAAAAAGCAGGGCTAGCTGACCTCGTTCTTTTTATAAGCAAGGCCCTCCCTTCGCCAACCAACAGCCCCTGTAACTTGCAATGTCGCATTTGGTACAGGTTTATCCAAAGGTTGCTGACGATTTTGCAATAGAAAACATGAAGTATTAAAGCTACTCCAAAATGAACATAAAAGGGTGGCAAGGAGCTCTGTATAAAAGTTAATTAGTAAATGTTTGGTCGAGAATGTTGCTTCTCAGGAGAAAGATGCTACCTTCGATGAAAATGGTGAGCGCACTCCTTCCTGAGTAATGTATAGCTTCAATATCTCAGGAGACAGATTCTGCGGATAGCCAAAGTCCATGATCTCTGAAAATTGCCAGACTGCTAGTAAGAATTCAAGCTCCATATCCTAGAAATTGCTTACAACATAGAACAACTAAAGCAAGCAGTAGCTAAGTAGATCATGACCACAAATAAAGAATAACAACAAGAACTAAATGGTTACCATCAAGCAACTCATATATCAAAACAAAATTATTTCTGATAGCATCTTCGTCAAAAGCACCACCAAAATACGACTTGAATAGTGCAACAGCCTGCATAAATGAAAACAAAACCAAAAGAGTATCAGTGACTGCCAAAAGGGTTACTTCCCAGAAAAACAACATGGTCTTGTGATTAATAGAGGTGCAACTTCGCTCGCGTCAGTTCTCATGCAGAACACCCATGACATAGGTGTATCATGATCTTAGCATGCTTTCTCATCACCTCGGTTGAAAGACTAGCAAACAAGTCAAAGATAGCAGATCCTTGACTGACACTATACACGGTCATGAATTCAAAATAGGCTGCATCATGAAATAAGGGTCACAAAGGAACTTAAAAGAGAAAGTAGGAGAAATGACCATCTCAATATATGCCAGTAAAGGCGAGATCAGAGGAGCAGGCATTACTTGCTAACTGGTTGCAAACATGTAACTAACTGTTTATTTGGACATGAACACCTTTCCTATAACCAGACTACAATTCATCATTACAACAAACCACAAAAGGATCAGATACTAATCTTCATCAGAAATCCAGATTCAGTATGGAAGCAGGTAAACCTATGTTCAGTAGTTCGTGGGATGGTGAACAAAACTTACAAGAAAGAAGAGAGTTTACCTCCACAACAAACTTGAAGGCACACGCAACATTAGCATTGCTGCTAACCACAATCACAATGTAGACATTGCTGATCCTCATATAAAAGAATGAACAGCCTCCAATTTGACGCACAGGACATGTCCCAAGTTCCTTTGTTTGCATAATATGCATCCGAAACGCATCCACCATATTCCCCCTGGAAAGGAATTACAACTGTCAGCACTCAATGGAAAGCCAACAAATCCAAAGTTGGCAACTCGGCATCAGCTCAATACAGAAAAAGAGTTCGGGTGCTAATAGCAAATCTGCGCTCCCCATTTCCACTAATGACAATAGGATTTTCCATCAACCTAGAATCGCAGTATCACAACACGCATCTAGAACTGTAGCAGAAGCGGTTCGAAGCACAACCTGGCACAGATCAAGCAACACCCCCCAGGCACCTCCCACTGCCAACTCATCCATAAATCAATTCCAACCATTTCCGAGAAACGACACCCAAAAACAGAATCCCGTCTAAGACAGCCATTCGCCCAAACCCCTAAATTCCCAGTTCCATCCCTGTAAATTCTGAAGAAGCGAGATTTTCAAAGAGAACTAAGGTTACTAGGTGAGGGGGAAATACCCGACGTCATCACGGTAGAGGCGATTGATGAGGACGTCCCCTCGGAGGTTCAAGAAGTAGATGGCGGAAGCAGCCACCGGCATCTCTGCGATCCAGTGGGGCGGTCGGGATCCGGGGAAACCAGATTAGCGGGGAGACGACCCAATCCTTCCTTCCCTCAGGAGATTCGACGGCGAGACGGAAATAATCGAAACGGGGATCTGTTGATAAGGGAAGACAAACGCTGTGGGAATTGGAGATTGAACGGAGAGTGGGGAAGGGTTGTTGATACTTGATAATAATGAAGGAAAGTTGAATACGATAGTAGTCGTCAGTCGTCGGAGACAGTTCACAGTTGTGTGATATGCGGGTTGGCTGGATCACCTGGGTCGACCGGCTGGTTAAATTGGTTGAGTTGTAACTTGTCAGGATAAGTATTTTGTATTTTTTTTTTTCTTCTTCCAAGTAATGTCAGGGTAAAAGATAGTAAGAAACCTCTACTTGAAACCCACTAAAGTCACTCTACAAAATTAAAAGAATCTAGGGGTCTTTGCTTGAGAGTTTTGGTGATATATTTTCCATCATGGACTTGAACCGAAATCCATCGTTTGCCTTAGGGTATTAGGAAGATGGAATTTATGGGGCCCACCTCTTTTGGGGTTCTAAATCCGTGGACCCCACGGACTTGGAAGTTCCACCTCTTGAGGCGAGATTTGGATGATGGATTAAAATCCATGATGGTAATTGGTAAATTACCTTTCTACCTTAATTATTTCTTTAATTACAAATTTGTCCTGCTTTAATTCAATGGTCATGCAACTATAAACTTTTATAACTTGTATTTTATAAATATGAGAATTTATCATTTCATTTTGTAATATCGTATTTTATTTAAATATGAATGTATATGTGATTTGTTAGATTCACCTAGAAACACTTTATGCTCATCTTGTGCATTATTATTTGATTGACTGTCGGATTCCACATCGGTGAGTTAGCAAGAAGATGATGAGTTGTAGCAATAAAGCGAGCAATTGGTTGCAATTGATACATAATAATGCGTACATTATTAGATAAATTGTTAATTAATGCCAAATTGTAATACATTTCATAGTTGTAGTTGAATTATTAATCCGCATAGTGGTAAAAAGTTTAAAATTTCTTTCTATGTTTCAGATTAGTTTTAAATGAAAGATTTGGGTTATAATATAGAAATATAATTAAATCAAAGTAACAAGGTAATTTGTATTTAATATCCACAAATCTAATCAAACAAAGTCCATAATCAAATCCATCAAGCAAACAATAAACTTGTTCAAATCCATAATGCCACCAAATCCATCATATATTCATGGTTTTCCAAAACCCAGGTTTTAACAAAACCCTCATTTTTCAAATCCATGAAGCAAACGACCCCTTAACTTTAATGAGGACAGCAACAGAGCATTACGTACCACTCTATGAGCAACCCAAACGACCATCACGAGCCCATTTGAGTTGGCGATAGGGCAGTAAGTAATAACAGTTGGCGCCTACCACAGTAGCAACGGGCTATAGAAGCAAGAGTCCAACAACCTACAAGTTTGCAAAAGACTGGCACGAGAAGATGAAAATGGTCAAAGTCTTAATTAGCCCAAACTAGTAAGAAAATGAAGAAGTGGGCTAACAAGAAGAGGCATCAATGGGAGTTCGAAGAGGGGGACATGATGATGGTGAAGTTCTACCATCATCACTTCAAGCATTTTAAGAACGTGCACAATGAACTGTTTCGCACCTATGAAGGGTCATTCCCTATCATGGGGAGGGTTGGCAAGGTGGAGGTGCCCTCGCATTTGGAGATCCACCAGGTCTTTCATGTGAGCCAACTCAAGACTTTCAATGAAGACAAGGAGGATGAGCAGCGGAGGCAGTCACATCAGGCACCAACACTCGTCACCAAGACACATGAGCATTAAGTCGAGGAGATCATGGCCCATCGTGTCATTCCTCGTGGTGGTGTCCATCTGAGTCATGTGGAGTACTTGGTCAAGTGATGGAACCCTTCCACAGAGTGAGGCTAGTTGGGAGAATGAGCTCACGCTATGGAAGGACAAAGATTTGATAGAGGGTTTCCATCATGAGGACAAGACGGGGCATTGCGAGTATAGGTGGGGGAGAATGTCACATGTGGCAGATGACTTAGCGAGGGCATGACGACAATATGGCGATTTGCACATGTGGTGTGCATGGAAGTATGGAGTATAGAGATGCCTCTAGCATTCTTCACCATAATGGGGGCACTTATGAACCACATTTTGGGTGGCATTATGAGGTGCATTATGAGGGGACTTAATGAGTGTAGTAATGAAGAGGGACCGTTATGAGGGGGTATTGATGCCTTATATGAGGAGATGTCTATATAAGGAGCCAACTCCTTCACATATAACTCAGACCATCATTTTCTAGAGTAAACCCTTAGAGAGTGCTTCCCACTTCCTTTGTCTTTCTTTCTTAGTGAGATTGTGAGTTGTGAGAAAGCTACTTAGCATTTTTAATAGAGTTGAGAGCTAAGGTCGCACGACACAAAAGTAGGGGCATGTCAGTATACGCGAGTTCATGGATACCCATGGGTTCTTATGGACAAACATACATAGCGCCAATCTCCTGTCAAAATTAAAGCCTGACACCAATTTTTCCATAAAAATTTACCATACAAAAAAAACATCAATCTAAGTGCAAACCCACAAATTACTCATACAAATTGTTCAATATTAAAGATTAACATCCACAAACAACACGGATAATTGACAGGGTGTGGGCGGGCATCTATGGGTTGAGTAAACCTAAACTCGAACCTACCCGTTGAATAGTGCAACGGGTTTCAACCCGAACCTGATCCGCAATTTGTCAATGCGAATTTTACCCATTTTGACCAGGTTGGATCGGGTAGGATACCAGTGGATCCGGATTTTGCTGCCATCCTTAGTTGTTGGGTACTTAAATTGAGAGATGTTGTTGTTTGTGGTGGTGGCCTAGTGGTTATGAGCTTGAGGTGGTTGGAAAGTAAGTTGGTAAGAGTCTCTTTTTTTTTTTTACCAAAACGAATCATCCTCATGCTTATTCAGGTCCTAGATTAGCCATAAATTAGAGTAAAAGTGTAAGGCTAAAAGAAAATCTTTAGTGCGTTTACTGATTGAGACAAGGTTGAAAAAAAAGCTAGGTACTAGAAGGACATTATATAAGAACAGTCTGAAAGAAAATCTTATTGTCCATACATGTATGACAAGAATCCTAGCGCCATTAGGGAGATGAACATAAGTATTTTGAAATTTTTTTATGACACAAAAAATATGTTTTGAGGCCCTGTATCTAGAATCCAATAACTAACCAGGTTTGTACTGTGTAGTTCACAGTAAGTAGACAAGACATATTTACCTAAGTAAATTGGAAATGATGTAGATACTAAGACACAAAGTATGCATTGCGTGCAATGAAAAGGTGAAAGAGTACAAACAAATGACACTCCTCGCTAATCGGGCGGCACAAAACTTGTAATAAAAGGTTACGTTTGTGAAAAAAATAATAGAAAAGTAAGTTTGTTAATTTATGCTATTATCCCAAAATATAAATCACAAACTTCGTATAACTCTCGAAAGAAAGAATATCTAGAGCGGAAAACCCAAAAGACGCAAAACCACAAACCGCAGAGCTCTGGAGAAACGCCGCACAAATCGCAAATCTCCCATTTTCCCACCTTACTACGCAGCCGCAATTACTCTTCACCACTCCATTTCTCTCATAATTCCGGCAGCCCGAACTTCAGATTCCGGCTGCGGATTCGTTTTTTTCTCCCCGATTGGGGTTAGCAGTGGGTGGAAAAGTTGATTGGACGATCGGGGAGATGCGATGCGATTCTTCAGAAGGATAGCGGGAATACTCGGGTTCGTTAGAGACGAAGGCGGCGACCACGGAGAAGACCAAGAAGAAGGAGACCACGAAGCGGAGCAGCAATGCGTTCCTCCTCCTCATCATCATCAATCACGGCAGCAGCATCGTCCCGATTACCGCGAAACAGGGATTCCACGCAAAGGGTTCAGCGTCCCTGTCAAGGTCGCCGTTGACCGGCAGCAGCCTGGCCCTATTCTCATCCCTTGCAAAGCTGGTGATGGCGGCGTCCAGGTCAGTTTCCCCTCCGTGTTACTCCTTTGCTGTGAAATTATTGGCTTTGGGTCTGGAGGGTTCTGAGTGTGTAGCGAATTACGATCGAACTGGAAACTTGGGGTTGGTTTTTATCTTCAGTCAGTTTAAAGAATTCGGATTGTGCTAAAAGGATTATGGCGCTGTGAATGCAGATGCGGCTTCTGTAGATCATACTTAGTTATCATGGGATCCACTAGATAGGAGTTTATTGTGAGGAGTAATTATGAAACCTTCAACATGCTTATGGTCTTAGATAGGCGAATGTAGTAACTCGTTTGAGGCATATATGGTATGAGATCATAATCCTTAAAAGAGGGTGAATGCGAGATCACTTCGGTAAAGTTTTTTTTTTTTTTTTTCTTTTCCATTTTCTCGCTTGAAATGTCAGATTCGTGTTGCAATTTTTGAAAGAAATGACAACTGATGGAATACTATTGCTTGAGTAGGAAAGCATCCTTAGGATGGAAAGGTAATTAATGTTTGATGATTAGGAGTTAAATTTAACTTGTTTCCTGTTAGTTGTGGAGAATTTGGGAGCAGGAACAAGATAGAGAAAACAATAGTGTACGATTGTAGCAGTTCCGAGAGTGTGAACTGTGAACCCTTATTCCTCTACCAATGTCAATCTGTTGGCAACACATTATGCAAGATTCTAACGACAACTGACGGCTTGTTGAAGAACAGTGGTCTGCTGTAGAAGCGACTTCGTCTGAGAGTGATGCTTACTTGTTTCTAGCAACTGTGTCACTTGATGTGGTCACGGTTCTTGTATTAGAGCTAATGAGCAATGTGTAGGAAAGGGATAACCAATCATGGATGATGGATGCATCCTGAAGTGTTTATAGAGTAGAGGTTACGCTGTAGGAAACATATCCCTCATATATTAGAAGAGGAATCAGGTCATGATTGTCGAGGTTTTGTTATTGCATAAACACCTTCCTTGATCATGATACCGAACCTCAGCGACTTTTTGTTGTTTCTTTTTTCTTTTATGGTGGCATTTCCTTGTATTCATTTGTATGTGCAGTAAACTTTAATAACAAAACAAATTATCAGAAGTCTTTTGTGCCATGAGCAATAAATTCTTTTCTATTGATGTTGGTTGATACAACTGCCAGATCTTTTTGGCCTGTGTCAACCCTCAGACTTGTTGATGTCATAATATTAGGAGCTGCCGATGTATTTTGTTAGATGGAAAGACACGGATGCCCCTAATCTGACAGAGTTATGTGCTAGAAAGGAAGATCTGTACAGGAATTCTGAACTAGTGTCTTCTTGCACTGAGTCTTGCCATTATCTTCTCAGGAATTTACCTTGCCACCTAGTTAAGGCCTTTCTGGTTCTTGATGCACCCAAAACTTATGATGAAACTGAACAATGGAAAGTTCTGGCCTTTGGGAAGATCTTTCAACTGAGTGATCATGTCCTCGGAATTCGGAATCCCTGTCTCTCCAGTTGTCAACTACTTCCGTACAATCATACTCCTGGCTTGCTCTCCTTCCTGCATTCACCTGGAGCATACCATCCTTGATTAACCTGACATTCAAAGCTATAGTTGGCAATCCTCATTCCTGAATTATCTCTTGAATTAACCATATCGGCAGCTATTGGTTTTCTCTGTCATTGCATTTGATTCCTTCATTTAGAGTTCTGTAATTGGTGCCACCTTGGCCAATCACGACCTAGATATCTCTTTCCTGATGGTTCTGCATGTTGCAGGGTCTGAGGTGGTATGCAAAGAGCCTCAAGATAGATGAAGACGGAGATGTTGCCAACGAATTCCTCGACGAGACCATCTCACTGTTACCAACCCCCACTAGTTTCAGTTTCGGCAATGACCCTTCAGCGTTGCCTAGGTTCGAGGCAAGGTCTAATGTACGCCATGCAAAGGTCAGGAGGCAGTTCATGTCCCCTGAAGGTAAGTTCCTGAACTGCATTGAACACCAAGGCGGATTCCAACTGGTATGACGATCACAAGAACGCGATTTTCGGATTTGCCGAGGAACACCATGGGAAACGCATGCCGGGTGTCGGGGTTGGTGTTATAATGAAGTCTATATAGAGCTGAATATGGAGATGAGTCCTGCCATGGTCTTTCCCTTATCTCTTTCACCCATGGATTATTGGTTTCTGCTATTGGTGGTAAAAAGAGTGTATTTTTGCAAACAATGCGCACCTGGAAAATTGTACTAAATATATATGCCCAAAACATAGGGCTCTTTTGATATCACATTACGTACACTCTTTTCCTGGGTGACTTGCTTGACTTGAAGATCGTGGATCATGTTACCCCGCTTTACACCTTAATATATATGCTAATTTTTTTTGTCAAAATCTGTTACAAACGGGGCAGAGTCAAGTTTAGACCGAAAATAGCACCGATCATAGAAAATTTCTATTGGACTTTAAATCGGTAGGTGATATTTAGTGATATGATACGGTTGAATCACCGTTAAACTGACTATAGTTTCAGTTCAGTAATACAATACCCCCATGGTATATAGACAGGTAATAAATGTCTCGATTTTTTTGTTCCAAAAATATATCAAAAGTGGATATCATTTTGAAGAGCACAATTAATCTAATTTATCTATGCAGATAAAAAATCCAACTTAAAACAAGAGAAAAATCGTTCGTTTAATATTATAGAAAAAAAAAAGACTTCGATAAGTGACGTGAGATGATGATGTGGTGACTGGGAATTTGATTATGCATAATTATTAACTAGTAGAATACTAACTAGATCCTCCCTTTTTCGTCTCATTTCCTCTTTTATTTTGTTGTTTATATTATATATTATATATTGCATGTTGGGTGCTGGAATTAAAAGTTCCAACCGTCAATTATCACCAATGGTCATTTTTTCAATAGTTAGTCTTTCCTATTTCATTTTATTCTTACCCACTTGGCCACTTCTCAACGCTTCATTCTTTCCTATAAAGATAGTGTGTTTCTTTTTAATTAAGTTGCTAACTGTACTTTTTATTTACATTTGGTGTATGATCTATTTTTATTAGTGAAAATAATAAAATTAGATAATTTTTTTACATTCAAATTAAATAAATCACATACAAATGTTTGTCATGACTGATTACGATTAACTATGTAGAAATAGATCTATTTTTATTATTAATAATAATTTTAATATCCGGATTAAAAAAAATAACATCAAAATATTTTTTTCATTATTGACTATGATTAACCATGTAAAAAATAATGACCGAATTATTTTGTTGAGTTACTTTCACTATCATCGATAGGTTACAATTTGATCAATGTATTTTTTTATACGTGAATAAATGCTCTTGTTGGGCCGCGGGTATGAGTATGGGGCGAGAAGGCTAAAACCATTATACCCGCCGCTGCCGCTCCATACCCGTCAAACAATTTACTGAGCGTTTTACCCATACCCGCCCCATACTTAGTCAACGTGGGTCGCGGTCGGGCGTACCTTCGTGGTCATGACGGATACAGTACTCGAATATAACAATATGGTGCGTTTCTTGGTTCCATAAATTATAAATACTGGGGAAAAAAAAGAATCGAACCAAATGTGCTATCGGTCCGAAATATCTTTCACTATTGAACCGCGGTTCTCCATTGTAAAATTTAAAATTACACGCATGAAGTAGTTTAGCTACTGCTTGATTTTTTTGGGGGACCTACGGCTCCGGCGGCGGCGGCGAGGCCAGCGACTGGGCTGTCTCGTCGAGGAGTTCGGGGTCCGGAAACGTGCCGTGGTCGCCGCGTGCGGCGCCAGGAGGAGGAACGTAGAGCGGGCTCTTACCGTTCCGGCGGCGGATCTCGTCGATCGGCTCGCAATCGATGCGCTTCTCGACGCTCGCTTGGCAGAAGTTGTAGAAGTAGGTCGACTCCAGCCCGCACCGCATTTTAATGTTCATCACCATGTCGCTCATGCACAACGAGTGCTCGTCGCTGATGTACTCCCTCACGGGGCACACGAACAGTATGAACGCCGCGCAGCACGTCTTCCGCGGCACGTGGTCGTCTGGGTTCCTCAGCTCTCCGCACCCTTTCCTGAACACCGTGTAGTCCATCGTGTCGAACGATATGTTGCACGCTGCAATCACAAAACCAACCAACCAACCAGCAGTCAGTCAGAAATCGCACGCTTTAACATATCGGTGCAGATATGCAAAAAAAGTCCTGCCTTACAAAAAAATTCCTGCAAGCTAGACTTGTTATGTAACCATGTGGTGGTCTGCCGCGTGTGTATTCGCGAGATTGTTAGAATTTTGATCGCGTGTATTTTTTATGAATGCATGTATTATTATGAAATAATGACGTATACCGTGCGCGCGCAGCAGAATGAATGAATGAATGCATTTTTAAAGATTACAATGTTACTATAGATTTCCCATCCAGAAAATTACCTCATAATATAACAAAAATGTATCGTAATTATCTGCACGAGATAAACAATCGCAGCTTCCAAAAGACAAAAGTAAAAAAAAAAAAAAAGGTTAGCTATACCCACGTGAATAGCCTTTCAAGGGTCCCCTGTAACTTTCACTGAATGAATCTTGGAGAAGGTTTCGACCACCTCCTGCTTTCCCTGAGCTAGCCTCGGATGATTCAGCTGTCAAATTTTATGCCAGTGTAAAAACACACAGTAACCAAACAAACAAACAAACAACAACAAAAAAAGGAGTAAACAGAAAAAGGGAAATTTCGAGGGTTATGGAATGATTTACAAGAGAGTTCGTCGTTGCAATGAGCGAATCCGAGGAATAGAAGGAAGCAAGTGAGATAGGCGGCAAGATCATAATTCTGATTCGCCATTTTTTTTTTGGGGGGAGGGGGCTTTGTGGGTTTTTGCCTCTCTTCAAAGTTCAATCTCTCTCTCTCTTTGCAATTAATTGATTAATTAATCAATAAAAAGACTCCACTTCCTACTTTTGGCTTCTCTATATTTGGGGGTGCGGAAATGAAGTTGTGGAGGACAAAAATAGCTGTCGAAATTCGTGATTAAAAGTGGACGACATTTGGCTTTTCATGTTGTTGACCCGCTAAATCAGTTTTCTCGCTATACCCAAATTTGTAGGGGAATTTTACATTTGTGGTAGAAAATAACTACAATTGAAATTTACATTTCTGATATATATATGATGGCGTTTTCGGTGCACTCACTCTTTTTAGTGCGTTCAGTGCACTCGCTTCATAACCGTCATTTTAAACATGTGATTTATGTCAAAATGATGTCAATCATCACTTATGATGTGATGAACAGTAACGCACATGAATTTGCACAAAAACCATTGAAGATTTACTCTAATTTGAAGGATTTAGAGTTTAGAGATTTAGGGTTAGGGTTTATAATTTGGGCTTTAGGGATAGAACAAAAAATTGGAGGTCTAGGGCTTAGGGTAATCCGCTAATTAGTTGTTATCATATGTTATATCATCATATTACACTAATTATACAAATTAAAATTCAAAATCCGACACCTTAAGACTAGTTTTTGGGTTGGGTACATTGAACACACTCATTTTTGTGAGTGCACCGAAGTAGTCACTATATATATATAGTAATGACTGGTGTACGTCAGGCGTATAGTATACAACAGATGATCTAGCCGTTAGATATACTTAGATGAGGTCCGGCCAATCTCAACGGTCAGTTTTTGTTTTTCATTAAATCAAACATCGGGTTGGGGTTTAGAAAATCGGTGCCTGGGGTTTATCCATTAGAGGTTAGGTATCTGTAAATACTACATTCTTCAAATCAAAGTAATTATTTAATGTTTTTTTTTTTGAAGTTTCGTGCGCTTTCTTTTCTACCATATCACAAGTGATGGTTGACACTAATTATCTACGCATAAGGATGATTATAAAGCGGGTGCATAACAATAAAAAAGTGAGTGCATCAAAGATAAAATCGTAAATTTTATTTATTATACTTTTGAATAGAAAATATCGTGTATTTCGTGTATTGGATTTCACTTGACTGTCTACGGCTCCACATCCTTTAATTCCCCCCCCCCCCACAACATTATGAGTATGTGTCAACAAAGTTTAAAACTTGATGAAGTCCGACTAAATTGAATCGATTTACTTTCTCAATTTATTTTGTAAAATTTGAGAAGAAGTATTTGGAAGCAAGTATACTAAGACTACCTATACTAAAGTATAAGTGTATAACATTGCGGTTAAGACGAAAGAGTGGAGCATTAACGCTATGGGTTTTAGCTAGCTCCAAATCTTAGGTAACAATCGAAATTCATAGTCCTTTTAGCATTGAAATATTTTTTTTGAAAATTTATTAAATGACGGAGTTAGGCCAACGTGAAAAATAAATACAAACTCTTTCTATGATCGAAATACAAGCCCAAATGAGTTGTATCCATACTCCTCCAAATGATCAATTATTTGTCCATAGTCGAATGACCGTTTCTCCTTGCTGTCCTGGATAAGATGGGCTTTAACTCGACTTGGCAAGGGTGGATTCGGGAATGTCTTCAATCCACGTCTTTCTCTGTGCTGATGAATGGATCTCCGTCAGGTTATTTTACTCCCTCCAGGGGATTACGACAAGGCGATCCGCTTTCCCCTCTCTTATTCGTCCTCTGTACTAAGGGTTTTGCGGCGCTCCTTCGTAAGGCTATTTCAGAAAAACGTTTAGAAGGAGTGAAAGTGGCTCCTCGTGCGCCGCGTATCTCGCACTTATTTTTTGCAGACGATTCGTACTTATTTCTGCGAGGTACCCTTCGGGAGTGTGATAATCTTATTGAGGTGCTAAACGAGTATGAGGAATTGAGTGGTCAGCGAGTGAATTTGGCAAAATCTGTTGTCTGTTTTAGTAAGAATATTGTCCGAGCAGATCAGGAATTCTTGGCCGCAGTGTTGGGGGTGGGTGCGGTTGGTGTCCATGATAAGTACCTTGGTCTGCCGACTCTTATTGCTCGGTCCAAGATGGCCACTTTCCGGTATTTAGAAGAGAAACTGCTGGAACGTCTTCAGGGGTGGAAAAAGAAGACCCTATCTTGGGCCGCTAAAGAAACTTTGCTTAAGTCGGTCGCTATGGCATTACCATTACATGTGATGTCTTGTTTTAAGCTTCCGCTTTCTCTATGTCGGCTCTTGGATAGGCATATGGCCCGATTTTGGTGGGGGGATTCTGAGGACCATTTTAGACTCCGTTGGGTGTCGTGGCGGAATCTGTGCCGTAGCAAGCATGATGGGGGGTTAGGATTTCGCCGATTCGAGCAGTTTAATCAGGCATTGCTTGCTAAGGTGGGCTGGCGTATCCTCATGGAACCTCAATCCCTTTTGGCTCAGGTTTATAAAGGCAAATATTTTCCCTCTGGTTCTTTTCTTGAGGCTTCGGCTCGGTCCCGCCCTTCCTGAGGATGGCAAAGCATCCTTTTTGGCCGAGTCTTGCTAACAAAGGGTCTACGGTGGCAAATTGGGAATGGCCAAACTGCGTCTTTGCTTAACTCTAACTGGATTCCCCGCCTCCAGATGGACCCCCCTCGTTATAACCCGTGCATATTGCCAGAAGGGGGGGACCCAACTGTAGCGGAAGTCATGTGTCCTGGAGAGGGGTGCTGGGATGAAAGGAAGTTATGCCAGTGGTTTGATCCACCGACCTGTAGGGCTATTAAAGCTATCCCCCTTCCGAGACAGGATGTTGCGGATAGGCTGATCTGGCATGGTACGGCGGATGGGATCTTCACGGTTGAATCGGCTTATCACTTAGCTGTTGAAGTGGATAGGAGGAAAGGTGGGTGGAAATCAATGGTGAGTTGGATGGATAAGGAATCTTGGATCCGCCTTTGGGATGCGAATATCCCTCCGAAGCTCAAAATCTTTGTCTGGCAGATTTTCAGTCGTATCTTGCCGACCACTGAGGCTCTTATTGAGAAGCATGTCCCGGTGCACCCCAGGTGTCCGGTTTGTTGGGCTTCTGCAGAAACAATGGAACACTTATTCTTGGACTGCCCAGTGGCTCGTGCCCTTTGGGATTATTCGGGCCTTGGGTATCTAGGGGAAGGCCTCCCTCGGCAAACCTTCCCCATGTTTCTCAAGAGACTTATGGCTCTGCTTCATCAGCCTACTTTGTTCATGGCGGTAGTGGCTGTCCTCTGGCGGATATGACGATCACGGAACTGGGTTGTCTTTGAAGGCAAGCAGTTCAGCTTCCCTGCCCTGATGCGTCAGTACCACCAACAGTATGAGGAGTGGGTCCGTTTGCCTAGGGACACTATCCCCCGCACTGCCCCCACTGTGGAAAGTCCTCCTGGGACACATCCAATTGGTTTGGCTGGGGAGGGTAGTGTTGTTTGTAGGTGGGATGGGGCGGTGAGGAAGGGTTCACATTCGGCCGGTGGGATGGTTCTGCTGTTCCCCTCGAGGGCGGTCTGGCAGGTAAGGGGAGTTCAGTTTACTGACATTGATGACCCCATGGTGGTTGAGCTGCTTGTACTCCGGGAGGCGGTGTTGTGGTGCATTGCTATCGGCCTCCAGGCGGTTCATTTTGAAGGAGATGCGAAGTTAATTATTGATAAGATCAATCAAGCGGATGCTAGGGATAACCAAGTAGGAGCTGTTCTTGAAGAGATTCTGCCATATTTTTCTGGCTCTACTGGGTTTCGTGTTCGGTTTATAGGTCGGCGTTGTAATAGGGTAGCCCATTCGGTGGCTCGTAAAGCCCTCTCTTTGTACCCGACTATGAGTCGTTCTTTTGATTTTCAGGCCTGGCTGAATTCCAGGGTGTAGTTATCTATTTTTTGAATCAATATAAGATTATCTTTTGTCAAATAAAAAAAATCAATTATTTGTCCATCGAGCTTATACTTTAAAAGTTTGTGTTTAATTTTCCTTTGATGCATGATTATATTGTGAATAATAATTGAAGGAGATGTGCAACAAACGGGATTGTTCTTTTTTTTTTATGGGAATCTGTGAAGCTCCGTATTAACCAGTATAAGCGGCTACATTATCCAACACTAACTGATTAACCAAAAAAGTTGGAGGGCTATCAATCCAGACTACCCGTTCGTCCCAACGCGATTCCGAGTGAGCCATACGATGCGCTGCCGTATTGCCTTCGCGGTGAACATGCTGCCAAGATCCCAAGCCGGACTCCTCAAGATATCGTCTGATGCTTCGACACACAACTCCAATTTCTGACTCAATCTGCTCTGCCTCATCAATCTTACTGACTAGATTAAGGCTATCAGTCTCCAAGATGGGGTTCCGAAGGTTTTGCTGTTTCGCGAGCTGCACGCCAAATTCTGCTGCAAGAGCTTCAGCTTCTTCCACAGCCCAACTTCCACGGATCCTCTTGTTCGCAGCCATCAAGAACTGGCCATTTGTGCCTCGTGCTACCATACCCAAACCAATCCCTCCATCCCGAAAAATTGTCGCATCCGTATTGATTTTTACCCGACCTGCAGCGGGTGGGATCCATCTGGATTGATGTTCGTCTTCCGAGAGAATTCCTGTTCGAGATTGATGGACACGATAATCTTCAAGGAAAAGCTTTGATCGGGGAATGATGTCTTGCTCCTTCAGCTTCTGTCCATTAAATAAGTGAGCATTACGCTCCCGCCACATAAACCAAAGTGTGACACACCATGATTCAAACTCCTCTTCCTTCCTAACCTCCATCACATCTTTCGCCCATTTGTAGCAGTCATCCGACGTTCTTAGTTTGAAGCACTCGACCAGGTCAGATTGCCGCCATAGCCGAGAGCTCCATTCGCAATACCCGAACAGGTGAGCTTGCGTTTCGGAGAGCCCACAGAAAGAGCACTTGTCGTTCCACCTCCTGCTCCTCGTACTCATCTTATCGCCCGTAGGAAGGATGCCGCGCATAAACCTCCACATAAAATGCTTGGTCT